CTCTCTCGCATAGATGTTGGCTTCACCTCGGTATACGGGCCAGCATAAGCAATTCCTCTTCCAGTAGTATATATTCTGAGCCTAAGCCATACAAAGTATACCCAGTAAACGAGAATTGATTAAAATGGATTGAAATTTTATCTATCCGAATGCGTATTTTAAATAGCGAAAACTTTTTTTGGATTCAATTGGATTCAATTAGATTCAATTGGATGAAATTGAATTAAAAAACTTTCCTATTTAGAATTTTGAATTGAGCAGTATTCACGATGCAGGAAAAGCTGATATTATTTTTAGATTGAAAGGCAGAGAAATGTGCTTAATTCATGCAATGACTATAAATGAATAAAAATGCATTCCGGATTAAACGGGATTCATTTTAACATTCACAAATGCATATTTCTGAAAATTTGAATTCATTTCAATCCATTCTCGACTATAGGACAGTTATCTTGTTAAAAAGCGCCCCAGAAAAGATTTGAGAAAAAAGAAAATAGAACGTCTTTAGATATAGTGACCTTTTCCTTTCTCTTTAAAATGACTTTTAAGTGATTTTGAACTGATTTCGCGAGAAACACGATCTCGAGTTACAAGTCTTCTACCTCGCTGACTGTTTACCTGCGGCAGTCTGGCAGCCTTCATGAGGGGCGTCAGCCCGGCACGATCCCGCGTGTTCGGATGAGCACCGAAGGCTAACAGCAGCTCCATACACTCCAGATCCAAGGGCGACACCAGATTGATCTCGGAGCCGAAAAAATATCTCTTGTTTGGATTAGCGCCGGCTTCAAGCAGGATCCTCGCAACCTCAACGTGACGATTCCGCAGAGCCAGACGCAATGGCTCGTCGCACAACATGGTCCTAAATGTATAATCGCAAGAATATAACATATTGACAAAGCAACGCGTAGCTAATAAAGATTAACGTACTGCTCGGCAACTCAAAGAACACACCAAGTTAAGAGAAAATCAAAATGATTTTATTTTAACGTCATGAAAATTAAAACGATGATTTTTTTGTTATGAAATTTAACTATTTGTTGAATTTCCGTTCATTCCGTTAGGAAAGACATTTTGATTTTTTGTTGACTTTTATGTATTCCTTGAGGAGTTTCACCACAATAAAATTTTTGTAAATATATTATATAAAATAATATAATATGATTAAAAGCAAGAATTATTAATTGTTAAATGGCGTACTTTTAATTTTACACTATCATTCAACTATTTATGTCATTTAAAATCTTGTATAAAATCATATAAAGTCACATGCAAATCATATGATATTTAAATAAAATTAAAATTTTAGATTACGCCATATTTATCTTTCACAAGTATTTTAAAAAGTTTCGACGGTCATCAGTGATCAAAGTGGCAGTTAACGTAAAAGTCGCACCTGGGAAAAAGTTCCCCCGTATCCTGCCGGTGGTCCACCTTGGCGCCATACTTAAGCAGCAACTTCACCAGATCCAGGCAGCCGTGTTCGGCGGCGAGATGCAGGGCCGAATAACCGCACTCGTCAGTCGCGTTGATGTCGGCACCGCGCACAAGCAACAGCTGAGCGGCCTCGGTGTACCGCTGCCATACGGCATAGTGCAGGGGTCTGAGGCCCTGAGTCACCGGCTCGTTCGGTTTAGCACCGCATGCGAGGAGGATGCGGATCTCATCGAGCGGCTGCAGCCGTATTATCGAGTCGGCTAGCTCCCGTTGCAACGGGTTGGCGATGCACTCGGTCGGCATCTACATGGCGTAACACGAAAAGATACAGAGATAGAGAGGCGAGCTGAGAGAAAGAAAGATAGGGGGATAGAAGGATTGCGTAACGCGTGCATCGTATCGCACATTGGCAGAAATCACCGAGGATTTATAGCGAGACAGTTTATCGAGATAGTCTATCGATACATATAACGTTGTCGACGTTGAAGAAATTTGATTGTCGAATTTGTTATTTCTAATCTAAAATTGAGTTCCTCGCGGAAAGAAATTAAAAGAATCTTTCGCGAGACTGCAAAGACAGGACGCAAGCTGAATAAAAATCATTATGACGTCAAAATAGCTCCAAAATTATTATTAAAAGTAATCACTTTTTAGTCAGTAACGATTCTTTTAATGTCATTTTGACCGCATTACCGTAATTATGCCCAAGGAACACACTAAGAAAAAATCAAAATGACTTTATTTTGACGTCATGAATGTCAAAATGATGATTCTTTTTTACAAAATTTGTCTGTTTATTGATGTTAAGAATCAAAATAAAGTCATCTTGAATTTTTGTTGATTTCTGTGTTCTTTGGGTGCTTGGAGACAATGGCTATGTTTACACCGTTGCATTTAGGCCGCGGACTATACAATAGATGTCCTTGTTTATCCTGTAGGTTAAACAAAGACACCTATCGTATAAATCACGAACTAAGCACACGGTGTAAAACGTAGTTAATGGGGACAATACACGTGCACGACATGCACATATATTAACATGTATCTAACGCACTTTGATACGCACTTTATTATCGAGTCTGATTTGCCTTACACGACGAGCACGGAAATCCGACAAATCTGCAATATACAAGAAGATAGGGAGATTAATAAAATTCGACTCATCCACAATATTATACAATGTTAGAAAAATATTTGAACGTCGTAATTATTGTTTTAATAATTAATTAACCTAAGAAAAAATAATGAACCGTGTCAATTATTAATTAATAACAGTGGACGGAATTAATTTTTTAAACGAGATTCCACGTTTAAGAAATATATTCCTTTTCTATCGTATTTCTAATTTTACAATCTTTTCTACCGCAAACCGTAGAACTTATATAACAAAAATATAAAATCACAAGTATTAGATTGGAAAGAAATAAAAGTGTTGGTGAATGTAAATTAATAAATGTTACAGAATAAATTGTACTACAAAATATATGTTACACAAATATTCCATATTACGACAGAAAAGTATCTCCGGGGATACAGTACAGAAAAGACCTCGATTCCAGGTTCCGGACATCGCTGATAACACAATATCACCGTGAAACGCAGCCGCGCGAAGATTTTTCTCCGAGTTTTCTCCGACAGTCGATCCCGCAACGATCTCCGCGAGACACGATTTGGCTAACGATAGGTGAGTAATGCAATCGCTGTTCTCGCAGCGGGGAACTTCGCTGACGCGCGTCACGAGCACTAAAAGCTCTGCCAAGAGGACGGCGCAATTTTGGCGATGATGCCGGAAGTCCCGTGGCGTCGTCAATTGAAAATCACGCAGTCTGCGCCTCCGCGAACATCTGGCGCGCTACGCACTGCACTTCACAGCCACTTCAGTCACTTGTCCCTTTGTTACGCGAACAATCGCGATATTCAAGGTAACGATGGCCTGAGCAATTTTTTCGAACTCGAGAAGAGAAATATGCAATTTCAGGGTTTACCCTGTCAAATCTTCAGAAAGGTGCGAATTCACTTTCGATAACTTTAAAGTTGATTTTCTCGATTCCTCTCAATGAAGTAGCTTAAGTTTATAGTTGGAAATTTTCTTTTTCTGAGTCTATATTTTAATTAGATTCTAACATCAAGAAGGACGTCTTCGTCTAGTTACATAAAATTATAGTTATAATTATTAATTCAAAAACAAATTAATTCTAAAAAAAATAACGCAAGTTACTATGATAACGAAATCTCCTGTAAATTCACGTAAGATATGATAGATTCTAACATCAAGAAGTATGTCATCAGGTTAAATCTTAATTAAGATCGTCTGCGCAACCGAGCTTTAGATCACTATTACAGTAAACCCTTTAATTTGTGATCGTTAAATCCTATCGTAAAATTATATTTAAAATTAAAATTCTAATTATTAATTTGAACAAGTTAAGTCTAAAAAAAATAACACAAAAAACTGATATTATTATGATAACAAAACCTATAAATTCACGTAAGGCATGATTCTTCACTCTTGGATCGTTAAAATTGGCAAAAATAATAATCATGTATCGCACGACGTATTCTTAGTTTTCTCGTAAGATCAAGATCGATCCGACGAGCACGGTAACGACGCAAAAGAGTCGATATTCACTGCCAATTTTCGCCGCGTACATCTGACTATCGTAAACATTTAGTCCGAATTGATGCAAGATCTTGATAATACCGCGCAATTTGGTGTTATACTTCAAGTGGAAGTAATATGCTCCGTATATTACGGTTTGACACCTGTCGGACGCGATTGAGACTTCCGTTGTAAAACCGCAAATTGCTGAGCAGAAAAAGTATAAAGTATTAAATATATCGATTTCTAATAGCAAAGCAATGTATTATTAAACAATTATTCGCTCGATTCGAGTGATTTTATCAAATTATTAGTGCAATCATTTTAATAATTCTATACAGCGTAACTCTTTACATAAAATATTATGTATATGATAAAACGTGTTAGTAGATAAGCTATTAATTAAAAAATTTTAGTCGTCATCTTAGTATATATTTCACTTCGTCTTCCTGATCCGATTTAGTAGACGATGCCATATTTTTTTATCCATAGATTGACTTTCAGAGAAAAGAAATTTAAACAGTAGAAAGATAAAGAGGACTAATTGTCAAGCTTATACTTTAAATTTTTTAGAATAGATACAGTTTCCGAGAAGAGACAATTATTCAAAATTAGCCATAATATCTAGCTTACGTTGAAATTTCTCAGTAGTTTACCTTTCGATCTTGCGTCAACCGAAACTTTTACCATACCAAGGAAAAATCCTATCCCAAGAGAACATTCGATTTGACGCCCCCACACAAAGTCAAGAAAAAATCAAAATGACTTTTATTTTGATTCTTAACGTCAGTAAACAGTCCAATTTTGTAAAAAAGAATCATCATTTTGACTTTCATGACGTCAAAATAAAGTCGTTTTGACTTTCTCTTGACTCGACGTGTTCCTTGGGTCTCAGACGGTCGGTTGCTGATCGCAACATCCGGTATCGGTGATCGTATCGACGATGACGATCTCTCGTTCTCCTCATTCACGTCGTGAACTTGACGTTACTGCGTTTATTGTTTACTCACGTCAAAGACGGTGCGATGCTCCAGCATGTAGGAACGGTGTCACGAGAACTGCCTTCTTCGTTGGACGACCCGGTCCTATTTAAAGCCTCGCGAAGCGGCGCGACTCGCCGCCCGAAAATAACACAAAGGGCGCACTCAGAAGTCTTCGCGCATGTGTCTTTTGGCTGCTACGCAATTTTTGTCTTTTAGCGCGTAGACGCGTGTCCACCTTCGTAGCTACCCTTTTCTTCGCGCGCGCTTTTTCTTCCCGATCTTCTGAACCGCGAACGTCATCGTTTTCGTCATTGAGAGAAACTTCAGGGATGCCTCTCGCTCACGTGCTTTTGTTTTGAAAATATTTTGCGAGCTATCTTGCAATCTGCACAATAATAATGTATTTGCCAAAACTGTAGTGATAACACGTGATAAATACACTGAGCGTGTTACAAAGTTTCAAAATAATCATAACAAATATAAGAAAGCGCGCATCAGACAAACTTAAAGTTTAAAAAACTACGTTATCATTACGTACGCTTATTACGTAAGCTTGTAAAAATAAAAAAAAAACGAAACATTGTATTTTTCATTAAGCGAATTGTATTGTGCCTATCAATGAAATTGAAATCGTTATTTCAAGAACACTATGTATGATTGGCGCCGTCCGAGGAATTTGTTTACAGAAACAATAGCAGTAGCACTGCAACGTAAGTAAATGTGTTATAAATGGATGAAATTTTTACGGGAATATATGTAGCAAAAATAGTGATAACGAGATTATTATATTACTATTAAAATCAAATTGTTAATAATTATTTTATTTTGATATGTATAATAATTCTCGATGCAAATAATGAATACTTTATTTTTCTTCGAATATCCTGAGTCGCAGTCGGGGCTGCAGATCCTAAACGACGCATTTTCGTAATCGTTCGGAGAAAAGATATTAATACCTTGATAAAAATTTTTCTCAAAATTTTTATACGAATTAAAACACTTTTCAGAAACACTGAGAAAACATATCTTTAAAAAATTTTTTTTATATATGTGAATTCTGAAATATTTATAAGATTTTCAAGATTTCTCATTTAATAATTTTTGAGAAAATGCCTTAAACTTTTCTAAATTTTGTAAAATTTCATCAGAGAAAAATTTTATAGAATAAGAAATCTTAGAATATTTTAAAATTCACATGTATTAAACATTTCAGAAAAGACGTAAACTTTCTGAAAAATATTTTAATTTGAACATAAAAGATCTGATAAATTTTCTAAAAAAAATCATAAAATTTAGAAATTCTAAACAATTCTGAAAAATTATGTGAAAATTCTAAGAAAAATTTTCATTTGTAGGTAACTTTATTTAGGTATTTGGGACACCAAAGTACGGTTGGTGCCGCAACCGATAAAAAACCTCATTTTCGAGATCATGGATCATTTAAAAAAAAACTAGAATTGCGCGCGTCTTAGGTTAACAACTATAACCACTTACAATGCGTACCATCCTGTAAATATTCGCGACACACACGTGACAACGCACACGTGGCGGCACAAAGAGATCCATCCTTCATCCCTTCCTCGCCTCATCGGATACATAAATATGTAATAGTGTTGCAACAATTCTGTGCTGTTCTGTTGTCCACAACTACGTCTTTCGGAAAGTTCACTGATCCTCCGATCCGAAATTAAACCAAACCCCGTGATTTCTCTGAATTTCCCGGCTGCGCGCGGCCGAGAACATTCGCAGGACGGTGACACCGGAGTCAACGATGGGTATAGGAAGAGAGGTGTTTTCCTCTTGCACCTAGAGAAAGGTTTCTTTGATTCAAAGAAATGTTTCTTTGCTATACGGTTAAAGAAAAAATTTCTTTGATTTAAACGTCATTTCCTTAACCGTATAGCAAAGAAACATTTCTTTGAATGAAAGAAACCTTTCTTTGAATGAAAGAAACCTTTCTCTGGATGTGCGACAACAGAGAAGTGTGATTTTTCAAAGTAATCATTTCGGAAAAGATTTCGTATCAAAATCCTTATAAATTTTACGCGAAGACAGCATCGACTACAAAATAGCTTCTTCTCCGCATGAGAATGTGCGCGTAAGTATAAAAAGAAAGGAATCGTCTTGTATTATGGTCAATTTTTAATTACAGCCTTTCCTTGATATTCTTTTCGCTTATGAAAAAAAAATTATACAATGATACATCAAAGCTATTATCGCAAATTACCGAAACTTAAAAAATATCAATCCAATAAGATTCTGATCATATCAATCAGAATTGCGGTCATCGTAATTGATTATCTGATCATTATTTCAATGAAAATTATTTAATCAGAAATTTTTGATTTATCCATCTTCAACTTAAAATTTTCCTCATATAGTGTACAGAACTTTCAAATTACGTAGTATTACAGAGAATTAATTACGTTTGGATAGAAAGTGATACAAAGGACGATCTGACCACGCGAGGTAAACCGGTACGTATAGGTTGAGCGTCGATAGATATAAGCTAAAAATTTCATTCTCATGCGAGACCTTGAGAGACGTGAAAACAAGGTCGGCAACCGGAACGACACACGTAATAAATGAGAAGAAAACCGCAAAGACCTCTATATATCTCTTTTCATAAGAAAAATCCTGGTTTCGTCGACCTTTCAGCTCCCCGCAGTGAAACAGAATGAACAAAGGTCGTCGACATTCGCCGAACGACATACCTGAAACGCACGAAATCGACGAGAGGGCACAGGCACATATTTTTCAGCAGTACTTTTTATTAGGAAATACTTTGCACTTATATTAAATATCTTATACTCATTAATTTTAATTATAATAATTATTGTTATAGCATTGTCCTAACTCCCTACTAAGAAGCATGCTTTTTCACTAACACATGTTACACAATCTTAAAATTATAAGCCGATCTTCTCTGTCGCCAACTTTACTCTTTACTTACAACCCTTAAAATACAGCTCTTACAATACGTGATTCAATACAATATTTGTCGAGTGTATCGAAATATGCGCTGCGTTTCAAGTGACGATTCGGCAAAATATTTTGGAAATAGTCATATAATCAAATTCTTATCATATTGCAAATATTATGCACACGTATTGTGCGGAAGAATAGACCGAGGGGAAAAGTGAAACAACTTCTCTGAAAAAAGAATTGTTGAACGTAGTTCTTTGTTATAAGAATATTGAACTTGTCTAATATATATACACACACACACATATATATATATATTCCGCGTAGACGAGCGTCTTAAGTCTTTAAATCATCGAGGCTAAACACATACATACATTTATAATACATATATTATGAACCTATATATATATATATACTATAAATATTGTATACAGGTTGTCCGGAAATTTACGAATCAAACCACAGCAAGAAAATTTTCGAAAAATCAAGTAAAAAAAGTTATGTATAAATTTTTATTTCAAGCAGTAGCTTTTGAAATGTAAGTTTAGATATAATCAATTACAGATTAGACGATCACACTCAAAAGAAGTGTT